AGGTGATAACCGCCGCCAATGGTCATTTGCAACACCCGTATGGGTGTAGATGCTTTGCCACATTTAAACAGAGTGGGCCCCGGCTACCTCCCGTGTGAGCTGTCGTCAAGACACTATCAAATTTAGTTAGCTTTTGAAGGAAATGTTGGCGTGGTATTTCGACATATTGTTTTCGAATCGATAGATCGGCGTAAGGTACGGGTAACTCAGGAGGGTTGCGACCAATTTGCGAGTACACTGTCCTGTGCAGCATAAGATCATCGCGATTCGCTTCACGAATTAATTGTCTTATGATTTTATTCAGACAATTCCAGACACTGTATGACCTTTCATGAAATAGGATCGAAGTTACTGAAATGTAGCAATTCATTGAGCTATTCTGCTTCTGATTTTTAAATATTGATTTATATAGAAGCAACAGATACTATGATCGTATGCTTATAAATAATAAAGAGAAGACTAAGAAGAGTTTAAGCTGACGATGAGTTTTAGTTGAGTGCGTCCTTTTTCTGGTAAATTAATTTGTTTCTTTATTTCTTCTTCTTTCTTCTATGGAGAAGGGTTTTGAAATAATATTTTTCTGATATCCGAAATTAATAAGTAAGGATTAAACTATAGAAAAAGAAGAGAGCAACAGCAAGATATGGTAATCTTAAAAGGAATGTTAACAACCAATCATTACATGTTTGCATATTAATATAACTTTTTATATGAATCAGTCGTGATGATAGAATTATTCAATCATATACAATGCAGTGATGTAGTTCTTTGTTATGTTGCATCACCCCTTCGCGTACCCTATATGTGTTTTTGCCGTCTACGGGTATGTTATTATAGAAAAATGATACATTATAAATAGGACCAGTATTCCAAAGAACCGTTTTTGTCTGTCTACATATCTCATTTGTCACACGAGTATAATTCATGGTAGACTAGTGACTGTTGAGTCACCGTATGATAAATCTGTCTAGCACAGAAATTGTTGGCTTAGGTGACTGGAACTTATGACTAAACCACACTTATGACGCGATATTACTGAAACGCCAAAAGTGAACACTAGGCCCCATACACGAATTTTTCAGTGCGTTATTTTGCTTTCCGAACTAAACTAGTTGCATGTTGTGCAAGACCCACTCATAACGTTTTGCTGTATCGTGAACGGAACAGTTCATCTGAGGAACAGTTCATCGCGGAATACATAATTTGTTTTGCCATTTTAAGGAGTCAGCCTGTCAGTTGGGACGGTGAACTAGAAATCCTAGATAGCCTATTCCATAGCATCGATGAGTTCCGTTCTTTTTTTGGATTTGGAAAAAAAACAATGTATCACATCTGAATGACAATGAGTACGGCGGTAAAGCTTCATCCATGTCACGATCTTAAATATTCTCAATGAAACGGTCATAGCTCCAGCTACAATTCTGATTAGCGGATTCGGGTTGATAGAACAATTTAGTCTAAAAAGAGCCGTGACAGCTCAGTCCGGGCGCACGCTTTTAATTCAACATACTCGAGCAATCTGAGTTCTATCCCTGGTGCCGGCACCAATGAAGTGGTTAACTTTAAGTGCAGAATTATTGCGTGCTTAGCGGTGATGGAAAACATCGTGAGGAGACCTGCATATTTTCGAAATAATAATAAAAAAAATATTACGAAGAAATGTGAAGTCCGCCAATCCACAGTGGGGCCGCGTGGTGGACAATGTCCTGATACCTTCTGTACAGAGGAGGTCTTTGCCCAGCAGTGGGATATGTATAGGCTGATGCTTTTGTTCGTATGAGCCAAGCCGCAGATTTTGCTGTTAAATCTAGTTAAGAACGGCAAAGTTTCTGAGTAAAAATGAAATTCAACTACGGAAGAGCCAGGAAAAAATTTTGATACTTTTGATTTTCGTCTAGACAGTGAAACAAATAAGATATGTCCATAAAGTACGCCATCGCGGTTTAATGTTAATATTTATAGCCTTATTCATATATTGCGCAAGCTTTATTGTCGCGTTAAGGACAACAAATGGCGATGATTATAAAAAAATAATAGAAACAAAACATATTACTGCAGCGGCATCAGTCGCGGAAGCAATATAAGTAATGACCCTTTAATTGTTGTTGCAAGTACGTAGAACGGAGTGGTGCTCTGGCTGCTATGAAATTATTTGTTACTAAGATGGTTTTATACATGCATAAATAACTAAATCGACCACTTAAGCTACCGTTTAGAGAATAAATTTGCTTAAACCTATTATATATATATAATATATATATATATATATATTGCATTTGACTGAGCACTTTTGCTGAGCCGTGATAGCTCAGTGTCCGGGCGCTCGCCTTTAATTCAATATACTCGAGCAACCTGAGTTCGGTCCCCGGTGCCGGCACCAATGAAGTTTTTAACTTTAACTGCTGTCTTATCACGTGCTCCGCGGTGAAGGAAAACATCGTGAGGAAATCTGCATATTTTCGTAATAATAACAAAAAAAAAAAATATTTCGAAGATATGTGAAGTTCGCCAATCCGCATTGGGGCCGCGTGGTGAACTATGCCCTGATATCCTCTATATAGAGGAGGCCTTTGCCCAGCAGTGGGACATGTATATGCTGTTACTTTTATTGCATTTGACAGATTGTATCCCTCTGCAAGATCCAGGAGTTTTCAAGCTTGACTGTTAATGTAGGCTCTCTTACTTAGGTCAAACAAAAAGAGTTATAAAAACCCGCGTGAAGGCACATATAGCCGAAATAAAATCAGGAGTCATCTCCAGTAGTCCAATAGTGCATTGTAAAATGCTATACGAAAAAGTGTTCGTTTGCTGGAAAGCAAACACACTAAATGACGCCAAACATTGCTTATAAATGTAATAATAAAGTAGCTATGTTGAGAAAATTCGTAGATGTGAAGTAAACGGCTTGTTTAGCTCTGTGGCTAGAGCGTCGGGTGCTAATCCCGGAGACGTAAATTCAAATCTTCTCAGAGGCGAATAAGTTATCCGCACAGAATAGCGCTATAAAAATTAGTAGCTATAAAAAGACATCTAAATCCAACGTATTCCAGGTCAAGCATGACAACGGAACTGTTCATTCAATAGCGATCCGAGCGAGTTGTTAAATTTCAATTGTAGACTTCTTAACTCTCAACTACGTATCGAGGCTAGCCGTGGATAGAGTTGGGCAAGTATGTGGTGATAACGTAACGTGTCTAAATCGCGCCAGTAACTTACCTTAACTGTAAAACTAAACTTAAAGTACTACTCGGGTACTGAGCGCATCGTTAGAAACTATCGATCGATTTTCAAACGATTTATCACTTTAGAAGTTATACTTTTTTTGGCGCGTTTAGAAAAAATTATGTGACAGCCAAAAAGTGTCGTGATGAAGTTGGTTCTAAAGCTACGAACTTCGGGCGATTTCACGATATTGCCATGGCAACCAATAACAAACTTTTGAACATTTGCCTTATTAATGCTTCAATTACTTTTGAAGTAAAACTTCTTTAGGCGCGACTAGGGAGTAACTCAGTTTTTTTCTGACGGAAGTAACGTCATAAGTATATGTCATATTTTTAAAATATGACACATACTTATGTCAGTATATGTCATATTTTTAGACATATACTAATGACGTTATTAAATATTTAATCATTTCAGTGATATATGCTGTCAACGCCAAAGAAGTTTTACTTCAATCGCGCGTAAAGGTTACACGCACACACTTTTTTAACAATACCTTTAAATCCAAGTTGTTTAATTAAACTGTTATCAGTTGCATTTAATATCTTTTTCACACGCAAAAAGCCAGTACTTTTTTCACACACAGGTTCCACAGGGAATAAAATTTTTAGTTATTTTTCTTTTGTTACGCTACAGGATTATAATTTCATATTGGCGTGGATTAGTTTTATTAGATAATATGTAATTTTAGATAGATTTAATCTTATAAATATTAGATCAATAAACTGTACATTCATATTACATAAATGCACACGTTTTTCTAATGTTAATTTGATTTGACCACTGTAACCAAATGGAAAAAATAATAATTTGTAACAGCTTTAAAACTGTTTTTTTTTTGTAACGGTTGGAAAGCGAGCCGACTGTTCACCTGATGTTACGTGACTACTGCCGCCAATGGACATCTAAAACCCTAGAAGTTTTCAACTATTGTTTTTTTTTATTATGATTTTTTGTTTTCAATTATTTCAATTTTATTAAAAATTATTAAAATTATATAAAGATCTTGTTATTATTGTTATTGGGAATAATTTGTTGTTTTCTCGTCTGATTGGGTTTATAAATAAAAATAAACATGTAGATATAAATATTGTATATGCTTACTTAATATTATAAAGGCGAAAGTTTGTATATGTATGGATGGATGTTTGTTACTCTTTCCCGCAAATACTACAGAATGGATTTTAATGAAACTTTATAATAATATAGGTTATACGTCAGAATAAGACAGGCTATAATTTATGTACATATTTTTATGTATATCAGTCTTTCGGTACGAATGTTACGCCTTCAGCCTATTCTACGCAGACGTAGTCGCGGGGACATAAATGGGACCCAACCAGACGGAAGCCCTCAGCACGGAAGACCAAACGGCCGAGGGTTAGGGTGAGAGGGAGAGAAACCGGCGGAATTATTATTTTTAGAATATTGGGGATATTTATTTGTTTTCTCGTCTGGCTAAATAAAATCTTCATGACACATTTTTTTGTCTTCGTGTTTTAATCGAGATCCTCAACAAAAAAGCGAACGTGCATTAATTGTATGCTATAATCATATACTATGTTAACATAATGGTATATTTATTTATCCGTTTCTAAACCGGAAATAATAATTTACACCATTTACACAACCTGTTTAACTATGCTTCACTGGCTTTATCTAACAGTGCCATTATCAGAAGATTATTAATCATACTCCACAACTACTACAACAACAAAAAGTGAAACAAGCAACAACGGTGGTAGGGCCACGCAGCAGCCTCGGCTGTTGCACGAATGGGCAGGCTCGTCCGGGTAAGTACCGCGACCTCACAGAAGACCGGCGTAAAGTGGATGTATAACACTTTCGCGTTTCGTCTGGTGAGTGAGGTAGCCGAAGTTCAATTGTGTTTTGGTTTCTTTTTTTAACTCGATGATGATGGTGTCTACTCTGGTGTCGGTCCAATGGTGGTGTCTACTCTGTTGGTGCAAGTAAATAAATAAATAAATAAAAAATCCTTAAGGAACGATCGAAAATACCATCCAACAATGACACGTTCATGTGGTTAGACTTCTTGTGTAACTTAAAACCATGTAAGCCGATTATGCTTGTTGAGCTATAACTTATTATTTCATTCCGTTCCAGACGATGGGTTCCTTGCCCCGCGAGTCTGTCGTGACCGGGCCTAGGGCTCCGGTGCCGACTGCGCCGCTCACCAAGCACATGGACAGCCTGACGGGACGGGACGTCACGGCCCTGGTCTACTCAGGTCGGTTTCAATGACGCTAATCAAATTGACAGGTCGAGCAATACTTAAACGTGTCTGAGCGCATTGCATCATCACCATCATTTCATCCCGTTCGAGTCCAGTGGTGAACACAGGCCTGTCCAACAAACTGCCGTTGCTCTACTTCTACTAAATTACCTAGTCTATTGCGAAAATCGGTTTCCAAACCTATCAAAATATTAAAACATGTAGCGGCATTCGCCGCCTGACGCTTTAACCATTAAGCTAAACGGCTGATTGCCACACCGACGCGAATGCCGAAGACGTGGATTCGATTCCCACAGTGGCGACAATCTTTTCGTACTCTTTCTACATATTTTAATGTTCAATCTTAAGTACAAAGATTAGCACTATAAACAATTTAAATTTCTAAAAAGCAATGGCGACATCTCTCGTTCGAATTATCGTTGTAAAACGATATTCGAAATTGTTTGTATGCTGGAAAGGATATAACAATGGATGCGCCAAGCATTGCTTCAAATGCTAAAAACCAATGTAGATAAAAGACGTTAAGATTTTCGTCGGTGTGGCAATCAGCCGTTTAGCTTGGTGGTTAAAGCGTCAGGCCGCGAATGCTGAAGACGTGGGTTCGATTCCCACAGCGGCGACAATCTTTTCGTACTTTTTCTACATATTTTAATGTTCAATCTTAAGTGCAAAGATTATCACTATAAACAATTTAAATTTCTATCAAAATATTATCAAATTTCTTTCTCCTGGAAAGGGAGGGGAAATGCTCATAAGATGTCGTATCTGCTGGGGGTGGGATTCATGTTCACTCTAGCATCCCTCGTTCGCAAGGCTCAGTGCTCACTTCGCATAAGCACGTATGGGATTTCAGTCCGATCCATGAATTGTATGAGTCAATTTGTTGTTTAATTTCCCTTGGTCTTATGTAACAATTTACCGCATATTCACGTGAACGAAATACATAATTATTCGAGCAACATTGATCATCAGACGAGAGCGGCAGCACCCGTGTGAGCTATGCGGAGTTGCAGGCGCGCACAAACGCAATGGGCAGGGCGATCGCCGCCCACGCCAGGCCAGTCGGGCCTAACAGAGACGGGGACTACGTGGTCGCAGTGTGCATGGAGCCTTCACACAGGTGAGGGTAATACCTGGTAGATGCTGTATAATTGCATCACAAAAATAAATAACAAAAAAGAACAAGACGAAGAGTTTCTTGCCGGTCCTTCTCTGTTCAGGTCTAGTTTAGTGAAGCGGTGGTGTCTTTTTGTTGACGTTCAATAAGAGCTTAATTTAAGACTACGTGGTCGCAGTATGCATGGAGCCTTCACACAGGTGAGGGTAATACCTGGTAGATGCTGTATAATTGCATCACAAAAATAAATAACAAAAAAGAACAAGACGAAGAGTTTCTTGCCGGTCCTTCTCTGTTCAGGTCTAGTTTAGTGAACCGGTTGTGTTTTTTTTTGTTGACGTTCAATAAGAGCTTAAGTTAAGCCTATATTGAATAAAGATACTTTGACTTTGATGCCTCGCAACAGTTTCTGCTGTAGCAGCAAAGAACGGGCGGTACTCGTCAGGTGCCACAGCCTTACAGAATACCGGCGCTAAGTAAAAGTCCTTACTAATATTCTTCGTCATCTATGTACCGGATATATTTATGGATCACACAAATACTTCCATGTGGGAAGCGAGTCCACGGTCCCCGGTGCCAAACAACTTAGCACAGATGACTCCGTGTTGCTGGTGCTTAGTTAGTGCATATAGGATAATCTTTAAAATTATCAATGTTCTGGATGTCCACCGGTAGTGGCTTGCTTGACTCGTTTTTCATTTAAAATGTATTACTTTGAACCCACGGTATTTGTAAAATTATTTATTGATGTCTTTGGTGATAGCTTCGATTATAATTATGACGTAGTAGTTGCTGTCCGCGACTACGTCTGCGTAGAATAGGCTGAATGCGTAACATTCAGAGCGAAAGAGAGATATACTTAAAAATATGTATATAAATATATAAATAACCTTTGTGTTATTCGGATGTATAAGCTATATTATTGTAAAGTTTCATTAGTATCCATTCAGTAGTATTTGCGTGAAAGAGTAACAAACATCCATCCATACATACAAACTTTCGCGTTTATAATATTAATTAATAAAGTAAGGATATATGTACAGGTCATCCACGGCAGAATATAATTAGTGTCCTCCGTTAGACGAATCGCTATTTTTTACCTTGTCTCTTTAATGCAAATTTTTTTCTTTATCATTTGCACGTAGTGTTCATTATTGGTTATTTGAATATCTTATGTAAATATTTGTGACATTATATGCTTAATAGTAATGTATTATGAACCATTATTATAAAATTAAGATACCTAATTGCTAATATAAGTTGTAAGTCGCGCTTCATGTTTAGACATCCTTCAATTTGTCATCAATCGTATCGAAATGCGAGGTAAAGAATCCAAAACTATAAAAGTCACAAATGAGTTAAAGTTATAAATGGGAAAATCCACTGCTATCTGAATATCATGTCAATTAAGCCGCTAGTCTTATTTCTAGCTGTAAACTAATTTCCAGTAATCGCATCAGGGTAAATTTATTTGTTATAAACTTCCATATATCTATAAGGAAGTGCAAGTAGAAATTACTTTCTTCGCATAATATCTAAATCAATCAAACGTATTCGTCAGGAAATATTATGAAATAGCGCAAGATAATTGAACTTTTGCCTTATACATTTAAATAAATAAATGAATTAATTAAACGAAAACCTGCAACCAATAAATCATTTCAGCACCGTCATGGCCTTGCTGGCGATTTGGAAGGCCAGCGCTGCGTACGTTCCCATGGACCCCAGCTTCCCCCAAGCGAGGATCACACACATACTGCGCGATGCCGAACCGTCTCTCATAATATATGACAACACTGGTAAATCATTGAATAAGTAACGGTATACCGTTTGATATACAGGGAGGTTTTTCTAAGTGTATCCATTTTTTTTAATTAAATTCTAGACATAAATAACGTTACATAAAAAATGATAAATATTTATAATCACTCGTAATTAATTAATTATATTCATTTGAGCTTATCTAAAAAGGGCGTGATTTATAGGCAACTCATAACTAACACGCACACAAATTCGTTTCAAAAGTATACGACGCATTTATGAATGACTACCGCATTGTCAACAAGTTCTGTTTTTAAGGGAATAAGAATGGTAATTTTTTTGAAAAAAAAAAGTTGTTTTTATTTCATTAAACGATTAGCCAGTCTAAACCTCCTGTGTGAATTTGGGCACCTTTAGAAAAAAAACCCTGTATATCGATGGTATTTATGAAGACCGCTGATATTCACTGAGCTTTTAACGCACTATTTTTGGAATTCGAACTTGGGCCTTAATATAAGTAACGCATACTCTTGATCACCACCTGTAATAAATGGAAGGTAAATTGTTTAATTTTCGCGTGAGAGGTTTAAAAAAGAGCTTCTTTCGGTAGACAGAAAATACTTATGTTTCTTAAGACTGTATTTTGTTAATGTTTACGTATTTATTGCTTTATTTACTTATAATGTGTTTTATTTGTATAGGCTTTAACTAGCGAATTCAAACCGACCAGTTATCATTTTTGTAACAATACATTTTTTTGTCTGAAGACATGTCTATAATTTTACACCACCAGAACAACCATGTTATCAGACAACAAATTCGCTTATGGTATGACGATCGATTGCAAATGTACCAAGAAAAAAAATGAGTAAAAAATTTTTCAAGTTAAGTGGTTTTATTAAAAATAAAGATTAAAATGATGTAGACAATATTCTAAAAGTTAAAAAATAATTCGGTAGGTCCTAGATACTATTTCGATTTAAGGCATTGACCAGACATCGTTAGGCGCGCGTAACCTAGGTAAATATGTAAATAGCGGTTTGATTTAGCTGTTGACTTGATAGAAATTTCACACGCCCACGGTTTTTTAGTCTGATGACACGTACCATTAATCATTGAAAGATACCTTATTTTGAAGAATAAGTCACCAATATTCAGTCACCTTCGCTATCTTTTATTTAAAAAATGTAGATGGCCAATATTTTATATCGAACTTTCTTTAGAAGAATTTATTAAATTAAACGCAAACATACAACTTTAACATGCGTTTGAATCATCAAAATTCGATGAAGAATTACGAAAATTACGGCGTACCGACAAAGAACAGCTATTTACAAATATTTACCGGGATCTTTCGGTTAACTATTTGCCCTGCAGTGACGTGTTCTTGCAGCGAACCCCGCCATGTTCTCCTGCAGCGGAGTCCCGGCAGTTTCCTTCGAGGAGTTGACGTCGGAAGCTGGCGGGCTGGCTGGCGACAAGCCCAGCGACGTTGAGGTGCTGGTTCCACCGTCTGCTGATAGCATCGCGATCGTCCTATACACTTCAGGCAGCACAGGCATACCGAAAGGTGTTTAAAAGAAATCTATAAATTTTAGGGCTCCGTACCCAAAGGGTAAAACGGGACCCTATTACTAACACTCTGCTGGGTGTCCGTCTGTCACCAAACTGTATCTTATGGCCCGTGATAGTCCGCAACGAGGGACGGACGATCGAAGGACTTCATGTTTCTTTGAAACATATATTTTTTTTAAATATTGCGAACATTATGCAGTTTTACTCACAGTCCTCTTTATTTTGCCAAGCCCGCACCAGTTAGGTTCATTGAACTGAGGTTGCTCGTGTACATTGAATCAAAAGCGACTCACTCGGCTATAAAGTGTCTGATGAAGCTTGATAACCAATGGGGAAGAAATATTCTCGAGTTACAGCCTCATATTGGTCATCGCAATGTAGGCCGACTTCTCACTAGATGGAGTAGTGTTCTGCGCAAATATGCGGGAAGTCCAGGCTGAAATGATTATTATGATTATGGAGCTTTACTTAATCCCTATTATCTATATTAATATTATAAAAGTAACTCTGTCTGTCTGTCTCGCTTTCACTCTAAAACTAATGAAATGATATTTTACACACAGATAGTCTAGAACCTGAGAAAGGACATAGGCTGTTTTTAATTGGAAAAATGGTGTTGTAAAGGTTCACGAGCGAAAAGCTAGTAGGAAGATAAAACGACAACTCACACAAAACTTAAAAAGATGAGGGACACGTGTATTTATATCAGAAAAGAACTGCTCTTTTCATTTATTTTGAACTAGATTTAAAGTAAGTAATTCCTTCGACCTTGGTAGCAATGAGCTATTAAGGCTTACGATGCTAACGTTATTTATTATTTCTTCAAGTTGCATGCAATCAAACCATTTTACACGATAGTAGACGGCGACCTTTCGTCGATGAATGCTTTTGAAAGTACACTATAGCGTCTAATGCTTTTGTACCTGAACGCAGAGTTTATTTAATGTTGTTCAGTAGAAGCAATCAACGTTGTTATTACTCCATTTTAAATGTCACGAATTTGTGAACGTGTTCTGAGGTCGCGCGTTTAGGTCTGCATTAGATTTTAGTATGTACGGGCTATAATATTCTGTTAGGCTCATCTGAAGCTATAACGTATAATTTAAGTAAAGGCCTACTGCTGGGCAAGGGTATTAGGGCATCACTCTGCAACAAAAGTATTAGGGCATAGTCGACCACGCGACCCCAACGCAAATTGGAAGACTAAGACATACCTACGAAGTTATAACTAGAACTTAATACAAGATTAAAGCAATTCCGATTGCCATGACTATAAATTTCCAATGCGAGCTGTATTTAACATTTATTAAAAGTAACAGCCTATCAATGTCCCACTGCTGGGCAAAGGCCTCCTCTATACAGAGGGTATCAGGGCATAGTCCACCACGCGGCCCCACTGCGGATTGGCGGACTTCACATATCTTCGAAATATATTTTTTTTGTTATTATTTCGAATATATGCAGGTTTCCTCACGATGTTATTCCTTCACCGCGGAGCACGTGATAACATTTATTATTGATTAATAAACAAAATTGCATTGATTTACATTGAAAATTTTAGAGTCAAGTGACAATCAAAGCCGTAAGAAGAGGGTTGGTTTTCGAAACGTTATATTCATAAGCAGAAATGTTAAAAAAGCTGAATAATTTTTTTGTGAAAAGTTGCCATGCGAGCAGACGGTTCATTTCACGCCGGTCTTCTGTGAGGTCGTGGAACCCGGACGAGCCTGCCCATTCATGCAACAGCCAAGGTTGCGTGGCCCTACCACAGTTATAAATTAATTAAATTAATTCGATCGCAACATGCAAATATTTTTTTGAAGAAAGAAATGATGGAACATAATAGGTAGTATAGCATATTATGGATTATTGCCACATTTTCATCCAGATATTTCTTAACTAAAATATTTGCAACAAACCATTACTGTAAATAAGAAACGAGACACAAAAGTTAATTTTCTCTGACGCAGTTACACAGTTGCCTCAGTTCTGCTTGAGTGGGAACCATGCAGAACTGTGGCGGTCTCACAGAAGATTTCATTTTAGAAGTAATTGTACTTTTGCGTTTCGTGCGATGGATGAGATGTCAAAAGACCGCTTCAAGGCATCGCGCTTGCAATGCTACCTTAGCTACGGCGTTTATGGCGGCTGTAATCGCTTTCTGTCATGTGAACCCTTTTTTAATTATTTTTCTCCTTTAAAAATCTTTTGTTCCACTTCCAGGCGTCCGTCTTCCCTACTCGGCTATCTGCAACCGGCTCTGGTGGCAGTTCCGCACCTTCCCCTACTCCGGCAACGAGAGGGTATGCGTGTGGAAGACCGCGCTGACCTTCGTGGACTCCGTGTGCGAGATATGGGGGCCCCTCTTGCACGGACGGACCCTGCTCATCCTCTCGAGGGAGACGACCAGGGACCCGCAGAAATTGGTTCGGACCCTAGCGGAAAACGAGGTGGGTGGAGTAAATTGATTCGTAATTTTGCTGTTATCATACCGTACCGTATAGCCGTGATAGCTCAGTGTCCGGGCGTTCGCCTTTAATTCGATATACTCGAGCAACCTGAGTTCGATCCCCGGTGCCGGCACCAATGAAGTTTTTAACTTTAAGTACTGACTTATCACGTGCTCCGCGGTGAAGGAAAACATCGTGAGGAAACCTGCATATTTTCGAAATAATAACAAAAAAATATATATTTCGAAGATATGTGAAGTCCGCCAATCCGCAGTGGGGCCGCGTGGTGGACTATGCCCTGATACCCTCTGTATAGAGGAGGCCTTTGAGCAGTGGGACATGTATTGGCTGTTACTTTACTGTACTTTACATACCGTACCGCAATTATTATATTTAGTATTATGTTCACTTTAACGATAACAACTTTTTCTTACTCAGTTCACTTTTCTTAAAAACTTTAACAATTACTTTCAAGTAATACTTTCGTAAAATACTATCACTACTTAGTATTATTTCTTTCTATAACTTCATTCGTTCCCAAAGTAAAGTGCATGAAATTTATCCATATACAGGATTATATACTTTTTAAATTAAATAGAAACAAAATACAACACTTTCGACGAATTTATGCGCCGTTCACCACATTTGAAAAATTAGGTTTCAACCACTTTGTGACACTCGTATAACACGTTTGAAGTCAACGTACAGTAAAATTTATCCAATCTGACCTGACCTATTTATTTTAGTTATTTTTCTAATTTGCTTTTAAAATGTCATAATGTCCGATCGGAGGTACTCAAGGCAGCAAAATATACAGATAATTGTAATATCCCCTGTTGTTCATTCATCGATTCTAGATGTTCTATCGCATTATAACATGTTTCTTCAACATCAACAAATTCAACACATATCGCTGCTTCTTTTCTCGCGCAAAGGTTAAGGCATAACTATTTGGCCATGGGCACTAGGATATTAGATATGTAATTTAGTTAGTATTTAATTAGTTAAAAAACTGCAAAACAAATGTCAAGTAATGATGAAGGCCCTATATTCTTATCGCAGGTACAAAGACTGGTGCTGGTGCCTACACTGCTCCGTTCTATTCTGATGTACCTCTCTTTGAACCGCACGGAGAGACCGCTACAGTTGCTAAAGCTTTGGGTCTGCTCCGGCGAGACGCTAAGCAAGGAGCTGGCGTCGCAGTTCTTCCAGTACTTCGGAGACAACGAAGGCTACCGGCTGGCGAACTTCTACGGAAGCACAGAGGTCATGGGCGACGTCACGTACTACGTTCTAGAAAGATCCGAGCAACTCGACGCACATCCGACCATCCCGATCGGTACGTATGGCGTTAAAAATGTATGTATTATCGAGTATTGTACAATTGTGTAAAGCTAAGAAGCATAAGTGTGCATTTATAAAGTTCTTGGAGCGAAATATTCAAAATATACCATACGGATAAAGGTCCTCGGTGACCATCTTTAAAACGCCAAAGAACTTCCAACGGAACGAACTGTTGCATATTTTCATCAAGCCTTACATCCTAGAGCAGGGAGGCATCCCATAGCATCCTTTACAACAGCAAAAAGTGACATCTACATCTGTTTCTCTTCTGCTCGGGCCGCAAGCTGATTGTTTCGACACGGGAACGATAGGCAGGTGAAACATTTAATCTATTACATGATCCCGGGCACTTAGAGGAGTATATTCTGCGGTAGCGCCACGTAATAATCTTCGTTGTAGCACGAATGGGCAGTTCCAGGGAAGTAACACAACCTCACAGAAGACCGGCGTGAAGTAGAAATGTTATTCTTCCGCGTTCCGTCTGGTGAGCGGGACAGCTGGGGCCCACTTTATTAAAAGGTGGCAACACATCCCCAACCCTTGTCTTGCAAATGCCAATGGGAGGCGGCCATCGCTTAACATGAGGCTCGTTTGCCAGCTTCTCGCATGAAAAGTAGCACAAACATTAATTTCCAGGGAATCCCGTGGACAACTGTGCAGTTTATCTGTTGGACGCGGATATGAACCCGGCGCGCGAGGCGGAGCCGGGCGAAGTGTGGGTGGCGGGGCGCAACCTCGCCTCCGGGTACGTCGGCGGTCAGGCCCCGGAGAAGTTCTGCGACAACCCGCACGCATCGCATCCAGGTAATGGGTCGTACATCAAAGCTTTGGAAGTGAAGCTTCTTTGGCCGCGACTAGGGAAGCTGAACGCTTCGGACGACGACAGTGCAACGGAAACTCGTTGTAGATTTCGATTTTTAAATATTTTATGTTTATAGCTAAACTATTTATTAAATATAAAAAAAATGTTCATTAATACATTAAAGGATTTTTTTTAAGTTTTACTCTTAACCTTTGCTGTATAGTTTTAAATTTGAATTTTAAAATACATTTGTTTTACTGTAACTAATTTGTTTAACTATTATATTCTATATATTATATATTTTTTTTTTCTCTTTTATTAAGCTTGGTTTTTTTTTGGTGTGTCCGTCCTTTTTCTTGGTAAAAAAGTATAATTCCTTTCTTTCAAAGAGAAAACAAATTTTCTGGAATATGCCGACGAACTGGACTCTTATTTTTACTATCTCAATTAAGTTAGAAAATCGAGAAATTCCATCCAAGGATAGTTATCTAAATTGTTAGGTTATTAAAACAAGAAGCAGGAAATGCACGAATCTTTTGCGGAAGCTTTTGAAGGATACGTAAACCATATTCAGCTAAGCGGCGAGTGTTGCCAGTTAATTACAAATAGAAAATTTCAACTCATAATGATTGTCTATATCCAACAGCGGGCTGAAGATAATCCTGTTTGCAGCCTTTGAGTATACAACAGTATTTCAATTCCACAGATCTCGCCAAGCTGTATCGCACTGGCGATTTCGGAGTGCTCCACAAGGGCACGGTGCTGTACGCCGGCCGGACCGACTCGCAAATCAAAATCAGAGGTCACAGAGTCGACTTGCAGGAGGTGGAGAGAGCCGTGTCGGCCGTGGAGGGGATCGAAAAAGGTTTATTTCTGCTTTCTTTAAAAAAAACATCTCCCCTACTTTGGGATAACATCATGCTGTGCTGTAAAGACGAAAAACATAAGAACAAACATAAATTTCACACGGACAAAGCGCCACGGAGTCATCGGAAGCGTGAATGGTGAATAAAAGTCGAAGGCAAGATTGAATGTTTTTGATCTGTGACGGATTCTTCGGGAATTTCTTCCAATTCCCGGAATTTGACTAGTTGTATTTTAAAATTTTGTGAAAGATTACATTGCAGTTTTGTAGTAAAAATATTGGCGTAGTGATTTCCCCCGAAGGCCAGCCACTATCCAGCCTGTTCCTATGTCTTGTAATATCGAACGTTATGATCCCAAACTGATTCTAGTCAGTTTAGTTAGTTCCCAAAATATGTCAAGAGACTAACTTTTATTTTAATAGAGCACGCGATGACACGTATTTTATAACGCGACAATATTTTAATTTGAGTATTTTCTATATTTGTAACTGATTTTCACTTGAACACTTGCATGGTAAATAACTGTGGCGGGGCTACGCAGCAGCCTCTACTTTTGGACGAAAGGGCAGGCTGATCCAGGCGGTATTCACTCAAAATTGGGGGAACCGCCTGCTCCCTTGAAAACTTCACAAAAAAAAAAAAAAACTTTGTTTGTAATACCGGTAGAACCTTTGGGTCTTAGATTTTGCCATGAGTTGTTACCGAAGCGCCTATCAAGATCATCGTCGCAACTCGCACGATATAATTTACATGCTATTACTTTATAAATACAACTTACATATTATGTTAGCAGATAGTTTATTTTTAACATTAATTGTTACCGCTCTGTGACGAAGCACAGCTTGCATAGCTTCTGATTTACCTAGATTAAGTACGTGGACTATCTCCCAATCATGTCTTCGTGTTGGTGCAGGCGTGGTGCTGTGCTACGGACTTGAGCGCGGCAGCCCAGAAATTCTTGCCTTCGTCACTATACAACCGGGAGCGAGGATGGCATCGCACCATATCGAGGCCACATTGAAGAACTCACTCACACACTACATGTTGCCACAGGTTAACATTTTTTATTTACATTTGTTATTATGGAACTGACCAGCGCTTGACTGCCATCCCACCTGATGGTAAACGGCGATACAGCCTTAGGTGGCAAGCGCGCTAGCTCAGTAAATGTCTATTCACTCTTGCCTTGAAGACGCCTACGTTATAATAATAATAATAATAATCCTTGTTGTTCTGAACTTCTCATAAGTATGAATGAAATGTTTTGTTCTTTTTATGATATGTCCCGAAGCTCAGTTTGCCTCTTGGCATAAGCCTCCTCTAACAATTTCCATTGGGACCTGTCACTTGCTACTCTTCTCCAGTGAAGTCCAGCCGTGAGTTTCAGATCATCTTCCCATCTTGTTTTTTGGCGTCCTCTGCTTCTCCTGCCTCTTCTTCTACGTTATAATACGAGTATTTAAATGGGAACTTTTATGAAATTAAAGTACCTATAGTGTTTGTTGTATGAGCGTTCTCTGTTTAATTTGGCTGGATCGCACCGATGGCGCAGTGTTCGCCACGCCAACTGCTTCGAACGGCGTGTTGTAGGTTCAATCCCGAAATGAAATAAAAATTTGTGTCATCCACAATTTTTATGTGCCTAGGAATGCTCTGCTACATCCACCATCATTTATGGAGCCCCCGAGACACAGGAATTACTACCTAGCGCTAGAGGTTTTTTAAAAATTCATATAAAACTTGTCGTATAAGTCGTGTTACCTGTGTTTAATGGAGACAATAAAAATCTACCTATTGATGCATGTTGAACAGCGATCTGGGGTAAATTTTCAACTACTATGGTGTGCGTGATAAAATGTTGAAATTGGTTGTAATGTGGTTTAATTCTTATATTTCTACATAAAAATAACGGATCCATTGTTTAAAAAAACGTTTTGTAGGATTTTATATACATAAAAATTGTTTCATTTAGTAATCTGCAGAACTCGTGTAAATCTAAGAAGTTATCATAATCAAATCGGTTAATTCAGTCAAAAATACTATCTGTTATTTATTCGCGTTTTCTTTTTACCTCATTCAACATTGTGCGGTGTACATGCCTTTATAATATAACATATTATGTGACAATCAATTCGTGCGTATTCGTGTGGCGACATTAATAAATAAATCAGTAAATAAATTCCATTTTTTGACACACCTCTCTCCGTAGGTGATCGTTATTGAGAGCATTCCGCTGCTGGTCAACGGAAAAGTTGACAGGCAGGCGCTGCTGAAAATGTACGAGAACACAAATAATAATGGCGAGTATTGTTTTAAATTATAATGATACAATTTATTATTTAATCATTGCAATCGATAACAGACATTTAGTAAGGCCTGCGATACCAATAATCGACATCGTAGACCTGCGCAGTGAGTTAGTCTTTGTGCATATGCATGTATACAGGGAGACATTTTTAAAGGTGCCCAAATTTACACAGGAGGTTAAAACTCGATATTAATCGTTTATTGAAATAAAAACAAACATTTAAAAAAAAAAAATTGCCATTCCATTTCATTAGTAATATGCTTTATTGTACACCAAAAAAGAATAAAGTACAAACCTAAACAAAATATTTATCAAATATTGGTCATCAAAAGGCGACCTTAATTTATCAAAAGAAATTGTTAACGTTAACAGTTATAACGTTAACGATACAATTTATTCTTTTGTTCTTGATTATATTAAAATAATAAAAAAATAAAGAAAAAAAGAAACATTTACTAATTTAAAATGTTACTTAAATTATCTAAATGTAATTAAACGAGCATGTTAAACAGAGCATTTATCAATTATACAATTTGCAGACGACGCAGAAATATCTTTAGATATAGATTACACGGGAGTCGAACCTGAGAATTTGGAGGCGGCGAAAGTGCTGTTCGAAACAGTTGGCGAGGTCCTTGGGAGGTCTGCAAGAGGTACCTTATCTGTGAGGGCCGGTTTCTACGAGCTTGGGGGGAATTCCCTTAACTCTATATACACGATTACTAGGTTGAGAGATAAAGGATATTACATTGGTAAGTATTTATTTACTACATTGTCTTTTTATATGAAAATGTGGCAAGAGAGCTGGCGGTTCACACGATTACGAGTGATATCCCCCATTCCATAGACATTCGCAACACCCGTTGGGTTTCAGAGGCATTAAATTAACTTCACCCAATAGAAGAAACACAGAACTATAACACTTCCACTTGACGCCGGTCTTCCTTCCGGGAGGTCGTGGTACTTCCCCGGATGGACCCACCCATCCGTGCAACAGCAAAGACCGTTGCTAGGCCCTACCACAGCTTAGCCCATTATACATCAAAGTGCAGCTCATATGCCATTGCTAGACAAATGTTTCGTATTTAAACAAAGTATTAGCACATCGTGCATCGTGTAGCTTGACAGGCTTTCCTATTGAAAGGTTAGAACTTCGAACAGTAAACAAAACTTAATAGGAGAAATACTGACATCGAATGTTGTCGACGCCCACCTGTGCAATCAGGATACAGCAACTTTGTCCGTAAGTAGGTCAAATTAGAACTCCTTGCAAGCCCAAATGTGTATTGGACTTTACATGTCTTGGAAGCATAATATTTTTCCTCAGGCATCAGTATCCTAGGTTTGTTGAAACTTAAAGGCACTGTTACCTGAAACCTCTCGTCACTGTCGATAACATGATGAATCAGATAAAATTGTAAATATTGATAGATAGATCTTCAGAGGTCTTTGTTTGTGAAAACATGGTGTACATATATTGCATGCAAGATATTAAATATACATTGTCTTATCATGTCCAGGCCGTATCACGGCATACAAATTGGTTACAAGAGATGGTGCATTGACCGCAATATTGTCTATTATAAACTTGACACTATTGCCAAATAGTTTCAGTCATAATAAAACTAATTACGAAACTGATTAATAAAATTGTTACAATAAATAATGTCAATATTAAAATAACATAATATATAATAGATAATTCCAACAGTTTACATTTTTAGTACATAATATAATGCAAATTAAATTATATTAAAATAATTAATAATTTTACATATTACGAAAAATTGTTTTCCTTCAAAAATTCTGAGATATTGTAGTATGCTCGATTAATTAAAAAATTCTTTAATTGTCTTTTAAGATCAAGAGCACTTAATTCTTTCCACGATTTGGGCAATTTGTTAAAAATTATCGGCGCCATGCAAAAGATGCTCTTACGTGTATGTTGGATTTAAAGGCAGAGGCTTGGGACAACCACCACGACTCTTATTATGTCAATTTGCTATTGAGTTCTTTTACAATTGTTGCCATTTTTGCTTTGTCTAACATTGCGATCTTACAGTCACATAATTTCTTTTCTTATATCATTACTATTTTGAATTTTAATTTTTTCTACATAAAAATAACGGATCCATCGTTAAAAAATAAAACGTTTTGTAGGATTTTTTATACCTAAAAATTGTTTCATTTAGTAATGTGCAGAACTCGTGTAAATCTAAGAAGTTATCATAATCAAATCGGATTCTTATGGACCATACGCCTCAACTATGAACTGTCAATTATATGATCCTAAGCTGAACTTTAATTTTGTAACTATTAAACAGACATCAGCGACTTCCTCGGGGCTGCGAACCTTGGAGATGTGCTGGCCCACATGAGCTCGGGGCCCGACCAGATCTCAGAAAGCCAGGAGTACAGGTTCAAGGCCGTTCCGATGAGGGAAGACCACAAGCAGCAAGTTATCGAGTAAGAAATCCGTGAATTGTTTCTCGACAATTTTATTGTATACATTATACGGTAGACCTATGCAGTAGCTTTTGTTGCGGCATGATAGGAAATTATATCAGGAGGTCAAATACGATGTTTTTGAAGCATTCAAAACATCTCGAGTTTAGAGAATTTTATTATTTTATATAAAATATCAGCCTATACATGTCCCACCGCTAGGCAAAGGCTTCCTCTGTACAGAGGGTCTTAGGGCATAGTCCACCACGCGACCCCACTGCGGATTGGCGTACTTCACATATCTACGAAATATTTTTTTTTGTTATTATATTATTATATTTTACATATTGTATTGTTATTTCATTTATAGATTTCTATATCCTATAAAGTCACTTTGGTCACTTCCATCGTCACAGAGCACGATCAAACATTGACGATGTACGTCAATGTGTTCAAATATCGAACTAAACACGACGGCTTACGCAGTTTAGCAATTAAAAAAATGAAGTAACAGGGATTCGAACCACCATTCATGTGACAAGTGTAGCGTTCTCATAAACATCGGAAGACCTTTTAACCGACTGTGTCCACAGTATGATCGTGACATCGTTCTATGAGAAGGCTGAACTCGAGCAGTTCCTGAAGAACGAAATCGAGACCGAAGACTACGCGCATTGCGTGCGCACCTGCTGGGCCGCCCTGCTGCAGGCGAGGCTCAGCGTGGTGCTGGAGGACGGTAAGTGACAAAAGACGGACGGCCGTCGCTATATTAACGTGACCATTTGTTCTGGATATTGTCGCCAGCTGTGTCTCAAGACCATCGTTGTCGTTACAGTCCTTTCGACCACTGTTGAACATAGACTGGCTCCTCCACAGAATTTAAGACGCATGATATTTAACCAACTGCACCCATCGATTTCTTGCACGTTTGTATATTTCGTTACTACGACTAGCGTGAGCTATCCCAACACTACAATACAATACGCTCGCTATTCAACAACCGAGACTGGTCGGTCAATCGCTCTAGCCCGCTGCTGCTTCAGTATAACGCTAAACATCAAACTTAATACAGGAATGCTTTTCTAAGTGTATTCATTTTTTTTTTCTAGACATAAATAATGTTATATAAAAAATGATAAATATTTTAAATCACTCGTAATTAATTAAATACATTCATTTGAACTTATCCCAAAAAGTGCGTGATTTATTTTACGCGCGATAACTAACACGCACACAAGTTCGTTTCAAATATATACGATGCATTTATGAATGACTACCGCATTGTCAACAGGTTCTGTTTTCTAAGGAATGGTATGACAATTTTTTTGAAAAAAAAAAAAGTTTGTTTTTATTTCAATAAACGTTAATATTGCCGAGTCTGAACCACCTGTGTGAATTTCGGCACCTAAAGAAAAGCCACCCTGTATATTTCAAGATATTCCCCCTCAAAATATAAATATGATGTTATATTACGTGACATTATGATATGATATTATATTAAATTATATTCTATATTTATATTGAGAGCTTAATGAGATAGTATAATGCTTGAGAGTTAAAAACTTCTCACTACTTAACTATACTTCTTTAATAAGTAGAGCAAATGATAACAGTGTGCCTTAAGCACTATAAAATTAAAAAAATGACTACCAAAATAACATTGATATTGATTGTCACTTTTTCTTTTAATTCCAGCCTCTGGCAATCCAGTCGCGGTAGCGCTGAACTTTGACGCAAGGGACGAGCCCGAGATAGAACTGAAGGGAGGACTCGCGAAAATCATGGGCTTCCTGGAGTTCGTTGAGAGCTCTGTAAGGGACACCATGCTTCCCGAGGGCAAGGGTAAGATGTTAAATCAATTGACCGTCTAAAAACTTCTATAAAAATTAAATAAGTCCTTCGAGCCGGATATCACGTCACTGTTATTATAAATTTTTTTTATATTTCTGTTATTATAAATAACGAAAGATTGTGCCCGCCTGTTCCGTCTTCACTGCACAACTGCTCATCGTATTGGATATAGCTTATACGAGATATTTTATTTAACTGTACAATTTTATTTCAAGAGTACCAATCGCGAAACCGGTTAAGCCCCATTATTCATGGTAACATGGTCCTTACAGCCGGATACTGAGTGCAATTTTAACTCTACAGGAACAATCCTCCACTCCTTCATGATGGCCACAGCGTCCTCTCTGAGTCCGAGGGACAATGTAGCATCGATACGCGCGTTGGAACACGCCACCATGAGGATAGCACGCGACAGGCGGTTCCACGGAGTCTTCACTACCAACACAAGTCCGCTGACGCAGGTGACTTATAATATTACAATATCGTTACTAGCATAATAAATACGAGGACGTGTTCATCAATTCGTAAATCTTTCATAGAGTAACACGAGGGTGTATTTATACGTTTTTTCTTTAATGTGACAAAGGTGGTTCGCTTATGTAAACTGTTGAATGCCCCTCTACAACACCCTTGTTGACCCCAGATACATCACTAATAGACGAAACGCAAAATTATAACACCGTCACTTAAACCGGTTTTATAAGAGTCCATGGTAATTCCCCGGAAAAGAATGCCCATTCGTGCAACATCACCGATCGCCTCTAACTGGCTGTAACATATGCTTTTTGCATACTGCACAACAAATTACACACGAGCATGAGATCGATGAGTTCTTGAATAAATATGATTTATGTGAGTACTTATACTCGACGCTTTACTTAGTCTACAGATAATAAAAATCTTAACAAAGCTCAATACTCAGAAATAATCTGAAATGCTTACTTTCATTCAAGACATCCAAGTTTGTACAATACAAATTATTGCCATACAAATACCTCATTGTACTGCTGTTTAAGTTAGGTTCGCTGTCCTTTTTTATATGTACATATAAAATTGTTTTAAAAGGGTTAAAGATATAATACAATGACGTTAACAAATTTTCTGTATTAAAAAATATACATTTAATGTCCACAGCAACTTGGCACTGATGTGCTGGGTTTCCAGACTTTGCTGGACTACCAAATCAACCAGTACGTAGACACCAATGGCGACAGGATCTTCGGCAAAGCGCCTGATGACATGCGGGCTATCGTGTGCTGGAAACCTACTGAATAGTTTTCCCATCCATTTCCCATGTTAAGTTACAATGCAAGTTAACATGTGTTCGTCATTCTATAGAATTAATTAAGTCATCGTTCACACACTCGCAATAAACGCATATAACAAGTATATCTATCGACAGTTATATAGTAGTTTTAAGTTACATGTTGTTTCATTTTTAGAGAAAAAAAAACACGATTGCCATGTGCTGATTAGCGAAATATGAAAAGAATAACAACATTATATTGTATTACGTAAATAATTCTCCAAATGTGCGAAATCACTGACCAAGTTTTATTCCAAAAATATCGAAATCTGACGTTACGTCATAAAACCTAACTAACAATGCGAATCTACAAGGTTTATTCTTAATATGTTATTTCAGAAAGTATATATGTATTTTATACTGAGATCGTAATAATTTACACATTGTTTTCAGTTATGTAGTTTAATATTTTAAGATATCTACGCACATAACATATTGTTACGTTATTAGTTATGAAAAGGGTGTTTTATAATTATTTTGCGATACAGGATGAGTACCTATATACTAATAATAGTTTTATATTATTACTACTATATTATTTACATTTTACACCTATGTTTAATCACGAGTTATCGTTAATAGCTGTATGCTTAATCGTGTCTTATTTATAAATTATGCAATTAAATACAAAGTGAACAGTAGAAGCTCTATAGTGCTTTTGCCAAGTATATAGCCTGACAAGAAAACGCTATTGGAGCGGGAATATAGATTCCATAGAAGAAATTAGTTCAAACTGTTTATCGCAATGTGGTGAGGTTTTTTATATTTCTTGTCAGGCTGTATTACTATACACTTATACAAGTAGTATATTTGATCACCAAATTCAATGCTATTCTTGCCTACACGATTGTAGTAAGATTTTAGTGTTATTTTTTTAAGTAAAGCTTACGAATACAATGCTGTATACAGTTAATTTTATCAGACTACTGATATTTAGATCTCCCTCTCTCTCGATTGTTGTGATAAGTGTTTACTTGTCTATGTTTATTGTTACGAATTATATTGTAATTTAAATATCCTTGAATAAAATAGTTAAAGTATATAGTCCTTTCTATTTAAACAACACTACCGAAAAATAATCGAACCAAGTAATGAATACTTGGAAAATCGTAATATCTCAAAACTGGTGAAACTTTTACTAGGTCCTCTTCCTAGATCTTCCCCTGAAAGTCATGGTAACTACGTAACAGTCAATATACAGCGACAAATGTCGTCGCGGGAGTTTAATCGCAACTTGCTCAAGACATTAAGCATACAATTAATAAAAAGTAACACCCTATACGTATCCCACTGCTGGGCAAAGGCCTCCTTTTTTTTTTCAGAGGGTAACAGGGCATAGTCCACCACGCCGCCACGCTGCAAATTGGCGAATTTTTTTGTTATTTCGAAAATATGCAGGTTTCCTCACAATGTTTTCCTTCACCGTTGAGCAAATGATAAAGTCAGCACTTAAAATTAACAATTGACAAAATTTCTCAGCTTAGATATGTGAAGGCAGGTCCATCCGACGACCTCACAGAAGGCCGGCGTAAAGTGCAAGTGTTATACTTTTGCGTTTCGTCCAATGAGTGAGGTAGCCGTGGCCCACTTTATTATGAGGCGACAACGCATCTGCAACCCTGTGGGTGTTGCAAATCTCAATGGACGGCGGCTATCATGTGAACCGCCAGCTCGCTTGCCACGTTCTCACATAGTAATATAAAAAAAATGTAGTAGACTCTTTTTCAAATAATTGTGCATGAAAAGGGGTTTACAGCTAAGGACTCGAAATGACACAAGCATTGGCAAACAAAATTTTTTATTTAAGTTCACTAGATACATTGACAATATATATATAGTTTAACTAAATGTTATAAGGATTAATATAAAACTTATATAACAGAGTCAACACTCGTCATTCAATATGGTTCCATGCTAAAATTTTCCGCTATGCAAGATAGTCAAATGTATAATATTATATTCCACTTTTTGTTCATTTATAAAATAGAAATATAATACCTGATTTACATAAAATCTTATGCATTATGAAATGGAATTGTTAAAATTTAAGTTTAAAAAAATTCAATTGTTACTTAATTAAATTATTCTAATCGGAGACAATATATATCGTTCACACTTTGTTTATTAGCATTATAAGTTAAAAAGGTCACATATAAGTGATTTTATAATTGGGGTAATTTGTAAAGTATTCGGGATATTAAAAACATGACATGAACAAGAGATTGCAGCAAAAAAATGAAGTTATTGGCAATAGAAGACAAGATAACACAACAACAGAATAACCTTAACCCCTGGGAACGTATTATTTGTCATTTATTTAAGTTAAAATTAAATATTCTAAATGCAAATACAATATTACCTAATTGATACGCTTTTATTTGCGGATTACAATAATGCTAAAATTTTATTCACCATTAAAACACTTGCTCTGCAATCAAATAATAGAAAAACGAAAGTCGTTAGGCCTAACATCTGTTTAATCTTGAAACCAGCACAATAACGTAATAAGAGTCTATAATTTTTAATCAATTAGTCGATGTTGATAATTAGGGATAAATTATTCGCTGTTAACACTTATATGCGTACGAATGATGATCAATACAGGGAGGCTTTTCTGAGTGTCCATCATAAAATCACTCGTAATTAATTAATTACATTCATTTTAACTTGTCTCAAAAAGAGCGTGATTTATGGGCAACTTATTTATTTTACGTGCGATCATTCATAACTAACACGCACACAAATTCGTTTCTAATATATACGACGCATTTATGAATGACTACCGCATAGTATAGTCAGCAAGTTCTGTTTTTTAAAGGAACAGAATAGCATTTGTTTCGAAAATAGTTTGTTATTATTTCTTCGATTATACTACCAAGTCTGAACCTTCTGTGTGAATTTGGGCACCTTTAGAAAAGCCACCCTGTATAATACAATGTTAGTATAATGATGTTACGATAGGGATAAATTATAATTTTTTAATGCGAAAGTTTTTACAACGACAAACGTGAGACGACCGATGTTTTTTTCTGCATTTGCAAATTTGGCGAGCGAGCGGTTTAACGCACGTTGCGATTACCGCTGCCAATGGAAAACTACAGAATTGGGATGCAGATGGGTTACCATTAAAATAATGGGCCCCGGCTACCCCAGTCGCCAGACGTATGAGGAAGCATTACACTTCCACATCGCGCTGGTCTTCTTCGAGGCATTGATACCTCCCCGGTCGAGGCTGCCCATTCGTGCAACATCAGAGGCTGCTGTGTGGCCCTTCCACGGATATAATTTACACAAGTAAAAACATTGAACACAATGAAATAATGACTTAACTTACTTAAATTTTAATGACGTTAAACTTATAACATAGGCAATATTTCATAACAGATACCCGGTAAAACTACCTATAATTTGTTTAGATATTCGAATGTGTGGTTTATATTCACATTCCTCTTCTCTTATTTATTTGTTCATTGATTGTTGGTTTACTTAAACATTCTAAACTATTTACTTTATAATTAACTGCATAATGAAATATTCTCAATGCGAATGCAATTGTTACTTAATTAAAACCCTTTTACTTCACCTGGATCATGTAATGCTAAACTTACATTTAACCATACAAAACAAACGCTGTACAATGACATAATGGATATGCTAAAACTACCAATAATTTATTTAGATATTCTAATGTAGGACTAAACATGAGACTTCTCTAATTTATTTGTTAATCAATTAAAGTTAGTTACTTAAACATTCTTAACTTTTTAATTTATACTTATATTATTTAATCAAATATTCTAAAATGCGAATGCATTTGTTGCTTAATTAAAACCCTTTTATTTCAATTGGATATATAGTGCTAAATTTACAGTTCACCATACCAAATACGCGCTCTACTATGACAAAATGGATATGCTAAAACTACCAATAATTTATTTAGATATTCTAATGTATGACTAAACATGAGACTTCTCTAATTTATTTGTTAATCAATTAAAGTTAGTTACTTAAACATTCTTAACTTTTTAATTTATACTTATATTAATTAATCAAATATTCTAAAATGCGAATGCATTTGTTGCTTAATTAAAACCCTTTTATTTTACCTGGACACACGCTCTACAATTACATAATCGAAACATGACAGGCGTCAGGATCATCATCCGCACCCGCCCACGTTGTAACGTATTATATAAACATAACAAACAAACATTATAAATGCACCTAAATGAAACAATATGCGAGTTCAAGAAATTTAAGCTAATTCATTGAATGATATTTTATAACTACAAAATTAATTTTAATATAATATAATAATAATCATAACAATAATATGCTTTATTGTACAGAAAATAAGTAAAAAGAACAAAAATAAACAAAATATTAATCAAATAATGGTCATCAAAAGGCGACCTTATTGCTACACAGATCCGTTAAGAGTGAAATTAAAATGGAAGGAGAGAGACATCGAGAGATAGAAAGGAGCTAACTGATAGACAGACAGATAATGCTTAAACTTGTCTTTTAAAAGAATCTAGGGTTTTAGCACGTTTAATAGCCATAGCTAAAGAGTTCCAGATTTTAACAGCAACAGCAAAGAAGGATTTATGGTAAAAACTAGTGGATCACATAGGACGTTTAAGGAAGAGGTTTTCATTTGAACGTAAAAGAAGATAGTATGAGAGAGAAGAAATTGAAAAGTTCCTTCAAATAGTGCGGACTTGATACATTAAAAAAGACGCAGTAAAGAGCAGAAAGAATATTAGGATAGAATAGGGTATTAATAGGAACAAATTTTAAAAGGGTACTTATTACGGGTAGGCATTCGTATACAGTTGTGTACGACGTCAAGTAGACGCCTGATCGAAATTTGATGCCGTTTTAGTTTGAAATTAAATAAGTTTCGAGTCTTTGAATACCTGAACATATAAAGAGGAAAATCAAAATCATAAAAAAAGACAATATT